CCAGTCAAGGATTGATGATGTAGTTGAACAACCAGCATGTGATCCATGTGATCTGTACAATGAGAAAAAGTAGAAAACACACACAGTCTGAACTGATGCTTAATAAGTGACATTCTCCCGATTCCCTCCCTAACTTAACTGAGTACCTCCTCAAACATGCTTGGGCTTGTGTTGACCTAGATTCCCTCAGAGATACTATATAAAAACCATCCTAGCAGGATCAAATCAAAGGCCTCAAATCAACCCCAGTTGGTCAATCATTGCATTCTTTGCACCTCCCCTGCTAATTTTTGTAAAGGTCCAGGCTAAGAAGATCAGTCTCCACTTGTGGGCACATAATAGCCTATGCTGATTAAAATTATTGCTGATAGTTCAGCACGTAGGTTTTTCACAAGCTCAAAAATACATATCTGAGGGAGTCATGATACAGCCGTTCCCGAAAAGGTTGCTTTTTTGAATTTTTTTTTGGGGCGGTTAGGGCTGTTAAGATCAGATAGGGTCAGATTTTACTCAGCTTTTGTATCAGACACCACCAGATTGGAGATCCACCTGTAATCTTGTACGTCATCCCAGCCATCCCACTCCACCACCCTCTTGTGTTCTTTTTTCTCTCGATCATTAATCCAACCTCACCTTCTTTAGGCAATAAGTTTCTTCCAAATGGGTCAAAACAAAGATGACGACGAGATCGAGATCGAGAATCCTAGACAAGGGCGATTGGCTGGTCAACATGCAGCCCTTCGCCAACAAATCCGTAATGATCCATCCCATTGCAATATGGATCAACGTCTTAATCCAACAGCAACACACTTGATGGCAGCAAATCAAGCAAGAAGCACGTCAATTTTCTTCTTCACCCTTGTCATATTTAGACTTTGTTCTAGCTGACCATGATAAATTTTCATTCCGCCATCCAGATGCGACTCACTCGATCTACGAGGCGCGCGAAATCCGCCGTGAGAGCTTCATGCAGGCAGCAGCACAAGGCCGTGAAAACTTTGAGGATTGTGAGCCAATCCATTTCAAACTGTGTCTTTTTGTTGTATGAATACTGACCTTTTTTAACAGCTCATCGTGATCCTATGCTGGACCATCATCGCAGCACTGGAAACTTCAGTAGTGCATTGGCCGACCCTCGACAATGCGGAGCTCAAGCTCAATCCAAATATCACCCTGAGTGTGGCATCCTTCAATCCGGTTCAGGATCTATGACCAACGATACACCAGTCTGGGATTTCAACCCACCCAATCGATCTCAACCCCGTAATCCTCATATCATACCGAGTCAGACTTCAAATGAGCTGCCGATCAAGATGTCAACACTTCGAGTCTTTCATGAGGCCTATCTACATGGCCCAAAGGATAAACCGAGCGCATCAACTAGCAGAGCTCCGTCAAAACGAACCCCTGAAAAACTCGGATGGAACTGTGACAAAACTAAAAAGGAAGATACTGGACCCAAGCATTACATCACTGTTGATTTGAATCATTCATCTCCTCAGAAAGTCATAGAATTGATAGTTACATCCCTTGACCGAGTACTACCCAAGCTTGGTACTTATCTTTTCAATGTATCTGAACCCCAGTCCGTCTCTTGGCTCGGTATCACTCTTACTCCAAAATCTTACATCCGCGAGCAAAAGTACAACCTTCACAATAAAACAGAATGGAATGATTTCAAGAAACT